CATCTTCAGCAGCTGCTGGTGATTAGTGACAACTCTTGGCAATTATTGAGATCTACACGAGCAGCTAAGCAGAAGGCAGGGCAAGTTTTCTATGTTCCCTGTGGGAGAATAAGTTGAGAATGGAAGTCTTGCCTGGAGGTAGAAGAGACGCTCCAAAGAGCATCAGGAGCTGCCTTCACTCTGCTCCCATTGGGCATTTTCTTTCACACGCTTTCACTTTTCCAAAACCATCCCAAAGTTTGCTCACACTCAGCAGCAGCACGTTATCTGAAGGCTGATCATTCACATGAGTTTAAGTTCCACAACACTTGCCATTTATGGACTCAGGTCCGTTTAACCTGGAAAATACCCCATTGGAAGCAGTTTCCCCATCAGAACCTTGGGGTCACCCTCATGTCCTTGTGACTCTGCAAGGAGATTGCAATTTGATCAAAGTCACCCATGGAGTTCTGCTCCTTGAGACTCTCACTGAACTGCCAGCCTGTCCCTGGGTTCTGGATGATGAGCACTGGAAAGAAGCATTCCTGGACACAGGAGGGATTAGGAAAAAACATTAACTAGGAAATTTGTAGAGACAGTATTTAATTCTTTAAAACTGATCATTTGATTTATCAATAATAGTTGGAAATTATTATTGATAATTGGATCTTGGAAACAAATGCCCTCTGCTGGCCAGTGGGCCTGATGTTTCCATTCTGAGAGACCGTGGAGCAGAAGGGGCACAATCAACCCTCTCCATGAGGCTCCTTATGCAGTGAACTGATGCGCTGGAGGCAGCAGACACATCCACGTTTCAGGCAAACCGGGTGCTCAAGATGAGCCAGCAGATGGGACGTCCACTGCTTCTTTAAAGGCTCCAACGATGGCCCTGGCCCCCGTCTGGGCAATAAAGTGCATGATAATGGTTTTAATGTGTATAGTGGTTATTCATCACAGGGATTTGTCATCTGTAAACACATAGAGATACTGTGGACCTACTATGTGCCATCGCTATGTCAAGGAAATGAAGATCTAAGCAGAATTACTCATGGCCCTGGTTGGGATACTTGAAATGCTGGTTGGAATGAAAGACAGGATTCATCCTAAGCTTTCAGCTGAGGTGCTGAAAGGGTGTAGGTCTGGGCTGTCCAGCGTGTAGGCCCCAGTCACATGTGGCTGCTCAGCACCTGACACAGACTCCCCTGAACTGAGAGGTGCTGTGGGTGTTGAATACACACCATATTTCAAACATGTAATAAGACAGAGAGAATGTAATCTATTTGTCAAAACATTTAAGAATTGATTACAGCTTGAAATGACAATATTTAGTGTATTAGAATAATTTAAAATGTTTCTTTTCACTTTCTTTAATGCAGCTACTAGAAAATTTATGAAATTATAATTAGATCTGTGGGTCATGATCCCTTTCTATTGGACATTGCTGCTCTAGACTCAGAAACCCTTCGGTCACCTCAGCTGGACCTATCTAGCTTTGGTAAAATGCCTAGGAGAAGCTGAGAGAATGAGTAAATCAGTGGGAGAAACACAATTCGTCATCTCATGTAGTTTGTCAAGCTATGATAACTAAAGAAAAGGAAGACACTGTCACTTCTCCAGCCTGTATATAAAAGCGTAGTCTGCCTACTGTTCCTTGGGAAGAGGATTCAGTCCAATGTCCCTAAATGGACACACTGTGCCTGATATTGAGTTGACCTCAGGTGAGATTTGCTGAATTAATAAACTATTCTATTCCTAGGACCTTGCTGTGTCATATCCGCTCTTAGTGGAACTCTGAGAAGTGAATAAGAAATTCTATCAAATTGGACTCACTTCAAGTGCACTGGCTTCTCCTGTGGCCTCCACTTGCTTCCACTGGCAGCTCAGTTCTGGATGAGAATCCTGCACGAGAGGTTTTATTTGACCTGGTCCCTCCTCCCCCACTATTCACATCCCACCTCTTTTCTCTAATTCAAACAGATTTTGATGCAATTCTGCCATATGAGATTTTTCCTGAGGACCTCAACCTACCACTTAACTTTACCACTTAAAAAGGAGAACAATTTATCTTGAGAATTCCTTTATTTTTATTAATATGAGTGACACATTGCTATATTATCATTCCAAATTAGATCTGGAATTTTATTACTCTTGATGACTGTTCATTTGGGATAAGGACAGAAATTCTTAAAACCAAATTTTGGGCATCCATTTTAATCCTCAACAAATGAACACAGCTTGTTTCAAATTCTTCTTGCTCACAAATGTAAAAGCTCCCGATATTTAGGTCAGGAAATTAGTAAACCTACATGGAAGCATTTCCTAACACAACACTCACTGTATCACAATTGTGTCTTCCATTTTACCCATGGCTGTAAGTCCTTGTTAGAAGTTTGGCAAATAAGCCCCCAAACCCACTTTCCACCTTCTGCAATCCCCACGTGATCTCTTGCTCTCACACACACCTTCCTTCTCACATACCGGTTCTGGAGTGTTCTCTCACATGCAGCTGCACACACATGTGCCTTCTCATGTGAATGTGCTCAACAGTAGTTGACCGCACCTAGCTGCACATGCCCACAGGATTTCAGTCTCACCCTGTTTCTCCATTTTCCTCACACAGAAAGTCTACCTTAGATACATACATCCTCTCTCAGCCAGCCCCAACTCTGCCTCATGTTTCCCTTCAAGCAGAAATGCTCTCTCTTCTTCAAACTCATCTGTTCTCTCTTTGCAGATGCCTATCATCTCTTGGTGCGTCCCTAGGATTGTCCTTGCTCCCAAGTGGGATCCAGCACCCCCTTCCTGCCAGTTTGTTGGGCACGTTCTTTACTGTGTTAAAGGGAAACCCACTCACACATCACATGATGCCCCAGATCAGGGGTCTGCAAACTAAGGGCCAGAGTACGTGGCTTGTTTTTGTAAATACAGTTTTATCAGAACTCAGCCACTCTTGTTTCCATACTATCTATGGCAGCTTCCACCTACAAAGTTTTAAGTAGCTGTAACAGAGACCACATGGCCCGTGAGCCTAAAATATTTACTTTCTGACCCTTTAAGGAAAACTCTGCTCCCTGCATCTCCTTGTCCTCTGAAGGACATCTAGTGCCCACTACCCATCCCATCTGCAAGCCCATAGTGCCCCTAACCCCGGGAAAGCCACAAACCCGCTGTGAGCTTCCCACAGGCTTTTCACTGAGAAATTGTTCTTTTTGCTGTCTTCTGTTTCCTATTGAACATGTCTTCATGTTTCTATTCTGTTTTTATGGCTAATTCTTTAACTTTATGATTCATCCACATAAGTTTAATTCAGTTTGCATATTTATAATTTCAAAGAGCACTATTTAACATATGCTGCCTAAAACACAACTCTAACGGACATTTTCACTCAACAAAATTAGAGACAATAGTATCATCACCTCACCCACACACCTTGAGAACAACATTGTCTACTTTCAACCATCGTTTACCTTGAACAGATCTAGTTTTGTCTACGCTCGCTCACAGTCCTTTCCCCTGGAGAATTTTAAAGTGATCATTACACTCTGGCTAGGAAGAGTGGAGTGTTACTGTTATGAGGTATACTAGGATGCATTTCTGGAGGGAAATTCTTGCAGCAATTAACCCAATGCCTTCAAGAAGGAATGAAAAGTAGAAGTACAGCTCATGGTATGACTGCCAGGGCATCGCTTCCGTGTTTCCTTGAGGAATATTCTGACTGACGACTTCAAATTTCCTCCCTCCACTTGCACACCTAAACTTCATTAAGCATCATAAATCCAGACGTTATAAAGAAAATAGTGATCATTTGAGAATGTGAACAATACAGAAATATTAAAAATGGCACTGTGGTGGACGCAGTTGGATCTCCACTCAGATTCCCTCTACCTGGGTGGTGCACTCAGCTCCATCTGCAATGATAGACTCACCAGTCTATAAAGAACTGCCCCGGTCTAACAGCAACATTCTGACCAACTATGGAACGGGAGAAAATCTTTGTGAATCTTATCCTGAGAAAAGATAAATATCCAGAATGTATAAAGTACTCCCAAGACTAACAACAAAAGATAACTCAATACGAAATTGGGCAAATGATTTGAATAGGCACTTCCCCAAAGATATACAAACTGTCAATAAGTGTATGAAAAGATGTTAACCATCGTAGGTCATTGGGGAAATGCAAATCACACCACAATGAGATCCCACTTCACACCTGAAAGATGGATATACAGTGATCCAAAAATGGAAAAGAACAAGTGTTGGCAAGGATGTGGAGAAACAGCAACACTTGTACATTTGTGGTGGGGATGCAAAATGATGCAGCAGCTGTGGAAAACTTTTGGTGATTTCTTAAAATGTTGAACATAGAACTAACCTATGGCACAGCAATGAACTCGTAGGTAAACATCCACAAGAACTGGAAGCAGGGACTTGAGAGATATTTGTACATCCGTGATCATAGCCATGTTATTCACAAAAGCCAAAAAATAGCAGCAACTCAAGTGTCCATCAGCAGATGAATGAATAAATAAAATGTTGTATATATAGACAATAGAATAGATTTCAGCCATAAAAATGAACGAGATTTTTACATATGCTACAACATGGATTGGCCTTGAAAACATGCTTAGTGGGATAAGGGAGACACAGAAGGACAAATACTAAATGGCTTCACATGTAAAAGATACTGGGAACAGGCAAATCCATAGAGACCGAAAGTAGATTAGAGAATATCTTGCGCTGGGAGGAGAGAGGAAGGGGGTTTATTCATTTATTGGGCATGAGATTTTGTTGGGTAAGACGAAAAACTCTTGATACAAATAGTGGTGATGACTACACAACATTGTGAATGTTTATAATGCCACTGGATTGTACACTTATCAATGGTTAAAATAATGAATGATGCTATGTATATGTATAACAATAAAAAAGGTTATGAAAATGGGTAACGTAAATGATTACTATAAGGATGTTATAGAAACTAACTTCTAAATATTTACACCTTCAACAGTGATTTCAACAATTCAAGAGCAGAAATTAGGAGCTCTAGGATCCCTAAGGATCAGCAGTAAGGGGCTAGAAGTAGGGAAAAATAAAGCCAAAATATGAGAGATCAGCATCAACCATAGATGAGTATCTAAAAAGTTATTGATGCAAAAAGTAAAAATGGAATTCAGCATGTAAGGGATGATAAAAGTGACCATCAGCATCAGGATGGAGTGGGCAGCTCTGATCTCTGGGGGGCGCTCGTAGTTATCATTGGAGGTGTGAATATGCTGCACTCTCTTGTGGTGTCTGTGCAGGAGAAGGACCATGGAACCACTGGACCAGATGATGAGGCCAATAAACATGGCATCAGAGATGGACCACAAGATGACAATCTGTGCAGTGAAACTTGAGGATGGACAGAACCACTTCCCTTGGAAGTCAGTATCATTTTCTGTGTCTTGTAGACCAGTGACCATTACAGGAGCATAGATATGCATTACGAAACTGAGCATCCAGCAAGTACAACAGAGTGGATCAATGATCTTGAGAGCTCTTCCTCTGAGCATCATCCACGCCACTCTGCCAGGGTTGAGAATAAAGACCTGATAGGTGCTCAGTACACAGGGGAAGCACACATTGGTGTTGCGAGCCACTCTGTATAGATAACATCCAAATTTGCACCCAAGGCTTGATAGAGGGTTTCTGAAGAGAGAAACTGCCATTGTATGGGGAACCCCACTGGAGAGGAGAACGAAGATATTGGCCACTGCCATGTGGGTAAGAATTGTATGTGTAGGCTTCTGCCTTTGGCCAAGCAAGATTGAAGAAACATTACGGAAAAAGAGAAAGCTATTGGCCATAGTTCCAAACCCCGACTGTAAAAGAAAGATAGTTTTCACAGCAACTTCCCCTGTGGTTCTTAGGACCTCTTCCTGAAAAGACATGGAAATGACTTCAGAGTGGCCTGGAGCAAAATGTGGTTATGCCAGTGATGACGTGAACTGTCTTCTTAATAGCCAACATTGGAAAAGGATTCTTGCTCTTTTCTTCTGAGAAGGGAGATGTGTCATACTCCAAAGGAGGGGCCCAACCTAGAGAACATAGACCTGATACCAGTTATACTTTTCACCATTCCTATTTTGTATTTATTTCTATTTACTTTTATATTTTGATTCTCCACCAGAATGTAAGGTCGATGATTTTAGAAACTATTCCTGTCTTTTAAAAAAATATGGTTGACACATAATAGGTGGTAAATAATATGTACTGAGTATATGAGTAATTGACAGGAGACAAAGACATGAAAGCACTGTACCCCCTTAAAATTCATGATCATCCCGCCTATTGTAATAGGTGTTGAGTGACATCACCAAGATGGAGACAGGACTTTCCTTCCTCTCACAGATGCAATGAATTTACCTACACATTAATCAATTTCCTCTGAGAGAAACCTGGAAGCTAGTTTATTAACTTTCATCAATTAGGTGACTGAGAAAATGTCCATGTTGAAATGGGTAGGAAAGGCTGAGACACACTCTCATCATCATCCCAGCCCATGGCACAGAACCCTACAATCAGGATGAAAGCTCCAGCTCTCTGCTTCTCCCAGAGAAGTGAGGGTTTGAACCACACATGGAGCACCTCATATTTTAGGGCTGCCACTAGAGGAAGAGGCCCTCCAATTGGCTAGCTCTGATAGTCAATGGGTCTTTTCATTCATGAGTCCCACAGGACTATAAGAAATAAAAAAAAGTAGTCGTCAAAGGGGCCTCCTAATACTCCCCATGGCTATACCTCCAGGTTCAGTGGAGAGGGAACAGGGGAAAACACCCATTGTCCAGTTTCTCACTGGAAGGAGTTTGACTGCATACTTTGCAGGCTCTGACCAAGGATGTGGCTTCTAATCAGCCACATCAAGCAGCTGGCTGAGATGCTCCCAGGAGCCTAAAGCAGCAAGTGGACAGTTCCCCCACATTCTGCCTCTGGCTTACTCCAAAAATAAAATCATCTCCAGCTTCTCCCTGGAAGGAAGTTGTCCACACATATGATGCCCCAACATTTGCAGCATCTACCCAAGGGAAGATGCCTCAAATCACATAGCCCCAAGAGCCAGTGATAATCAGAATTCATGAGTCCCACAGGACCATATGAAAAAGGCCGTTTACACAGTCACACATAGATTAAATTTGAAGAGATGAAAAAATATATTACATGCAAATGAAAACAAAAAAAGCTGGAGTAACTATAATTATGTCATAAAACATTGACTTTAAACCAAAAACTGTAACAAGAGACAAAGAAGGTCATTATATAATGATAAAGGGGTCAATTCATCAAGAGGATAGAATAATTTTAAATATTAATAAACCCAACTTTGGAGCACCTCAATATATTAAGCAAATATTAACATCTCAAGGGAGAAATAGACAGCAATAACACAACAATTATACAACAAAAAATACAACAATAATAAAGGATCTCAATACCACAATTTCAACAATGGATAGATCAGACAGAAAATCAAGAGAGAATCAATGGACTTAGACTACGTCTTCGACCAGATTGATCTAGTGGACTTACACAGAACATTCCATCCAACAGCAGCAGAATACACATTCTTCTCCAGGGCACATGAACTGTTCTCCGGGATAGATCATATTTTAGGCCACAAAAGAAGTCTTAACACATTTAAGAAGATTGAACCCGTATCAATCATCTGTTCTGACAACAATGATCGGAAACTGGAAATCAACTATAAGAGAAAAACTGGAAAATTCACTAATATATAAAGATTAAATGACATGCTCTTTTTTTTTTTTTAAAGATTTTATTTTTTCCTTTTTCTCCCCAAAGCCCCCCGGTACATAGTTGTATATTCTTCTTTGTGGGTCCTTTTAGTTGTGGCATGTGGGACGCTGCCTCAGCGTGGTTTGAAGAGCAGTCCCATGTCCGCGCCCAGGATTCGAACCAATGAAACACTGGGCCGCCTGCAGCGGAGTATGCGAACTCAACCACTTGGCCACGGGGCAGCCCCTAAATGACATGCTCTTGAACAACCAACGGGTCAAGGAAAAATCAAATGGGAAATAAAAATATCTTGAGACAAAAGAACATGGAAGCAGAGCATACCAATATTTACGGGATTCAGCAGAAGGTTCTAAGAGGGAAGTTTATAGCAATAAGCAGAAACATTAACAAAAAAGAAAGATCTCAAATAAATAAATTGACTTTACATTTCAGGGAACTAGAAAGGGAAGAACAATCTAAGCCCAAAGGTACTAGATGAAGGAAACAGAAATGATCAGAGGAAAAATAAATAAAATGGAAACTAAGACCACAGTATAAAAGATCGATGAAAATAAGATCCACTTTTTTTGTGTGTGGCTAAGACCAAGACATCTGCAGAGGCAATTTCCAACAGAAAGGTAATTGATTCTACAATGGAAGCAAATTCCTTTCTCCTTTCCCAACTCCCATGAATCCTTCCATTCAGGGCCTATTCAACTCCTTTGCTCGTTGCCCTCGATACACTGTTAGGTGGGCTTTCTCCTTCTGTCCTAGGCGGTCTACAAACCAGCTCTGACTTCTGTGCTCACCTATGATGCATGACACACTCTTCTGCTGATTCAGCATCAGGATTATTTTTGGCTGCTTCTCCTGTATTGTATGCATTCTCATTCACAGCAGTTACAAAACCCCAGAAGGCGTGAAGAAGCTGGTGAAGCTATAAGTGCTCAGGCACAAGAAAGACACGATGCCTCTTCATTTTGTTTAGCCAAAGCAGAGCCGAGTCGTCAGAAGAGTGATTGGAAAATAGGGCTTCAGTGTCATCTCTCTAACTTTTTAAAAGCATGGTTTCCACCAGCTTGTCCAAATGCAGGAAGTAACGTGTCCTTGCTTGTCCCTCCATGCCTGTGGGCAAAGAGAGGTTCCTAAGTTGGGGGCAGGCACTGGGATGTGCATTCCTGTGACAGCACAGGGAACCCTCTGTGGTTTTCTTTCTGACTCTGGCTGTGGTGGTGCCCTGAGTGTGACTGTGAGGCTAGTGGTCATCATTTCTGTAGGGGCAAGTGCATCCTTCTGCATTCTGCCTGGTGACTGTTGGTATAAGGGAGGCACCTCATCTCTGGGGTCAATCTCTGTGTGCCCCACAGAATGTACAACGAGTGTGTCTGACCACATCACCCACCGCAGTAAACCCTCAGCCCCATTTGAAGGAAGTCATGGGCCATGTGTGTGTGATGAGGGTATAAGGGCACGAGGGGACCTGCACGCACTAAGAGTCACTGCAGGTGCTATTTAGGGAGCATTTGGTGGGGACCCAAGGGGATCATGTGAGGATTGACGGGCATGAGAGTCACATCAGCTCTTTTGCAAATAGACAAGGTTCTGTGGGGCTCACTGCAGTGAGACGGAAGCTTAACATGCAGGAGAACCATGGACTTGGACAGGTAATCGTAACTCAAAGGAGAGATCTGAATAATCACAATTTCTGATTAGAATCTCGTATAGAACAGGTTTGTCAAAGGAACTGCAGGGAGGGATAGCTATGTGGAATGGATCAAGGATAGGGTGGGACTTATATATATAAGCATACGAAGACATATATGTACAAATACATTGTTGCTACTATTATCTTGAACAAACCTATCTATAAGATTTAAAATTTTAAGAAATAATGTTATTATTTCACCTTCAATAACTCCTTATCCAAAGCACCTCCTTTCTCTGGATAGATCCAAGTTTCTGATCTATGTCATTTTCCTTACCTCTAGAGAATTTCTTTTAAAATTTCTTGCAAGGCAGCTCTACTGACAAAAGATTGCCTCCATTTTTCTTTGTATGAGAAACTCTTTATTCCTCCTTCCTTTTTGGAGGGTAAACACACAGGGTATGACATTGTAGATTGGTGAGTTTTTTCTCACAACGGTTTGTTTCACTCCACTCCTTGCACGGATTCTGAGGAGTAGTTGGAAGTGATTCTGAAATTTCTTCCTTCTTAAGAAAAGTGGGGTTTTTCTTCTCATTTTCTTAAGGACTTTTTCCTCCATAGTTTGAAAATTACATGCCTAGCTATAATTTTGTTGTGGTTGTAGTTTTTTGGCTTTTATACTGCTTAGTGTTCTCTGAGCTTCCTGGATCTGTGGTTTGGTGTCCGATATTAATTTGGAAAAATTCTCAGTCATTATTTCATATACGTCTTTGGTCCCTTTCTCTCTTCTTCTTACATTATTGCAATTATGCATATGTTACATATTTTGCAGATGTCCCACAGTCCTTGTCTACTCTGTTCTGGTTTTTCACTCTTTTTCCTGTATGCTTTTCGGTTTGTAGAGGTTTCTATTGATGAATCCTCAAGCTCAGAGATTCTTTCCTCAGCCATTTCCAATTTCTTAACAAGCCCATCAAAGGAATTCTTCATAACCCTTTCAGTGTTTTTGATCTCAGCATTTTCTTTTGGTTCTTTTTAGGGTTTCCACCTCTCTGCTTCCATTGCACATCTATTCTTGTACGCTGTCTAATTTATCCAATAATCCATGACCATATTAATCACCATTGTTTTAAAATCGTGGTCTGATAATTCCAACATCCCTGCCATGCCTTGTTCCGATGATTGCTCTGTCTCTTCAAATTGTGTTTTTTGTGCTTTAGTATGTCCTGTATTTTTCTCAATAGACATGATAAACTAGGTAAAAGCAACTGTGATAAATAGACCTTTAATCATGTGGTCAGGTTTGGGGAGAGAGGAACATCCTGTAGTACTCAGATTATGGCGTAGTCTTGTACTGAGTCTGTGACTCTGGACTGTGATCTTTGCAAGAGTTTCTCAGGTCTTTTCATCCCCCGTTAGGTGGAACAGGATGACTAGAGAAGGCTGCAGTTGGGTATTTCCCCTCCCCAGGTCAGTTAGGCTCTGATAATACCCCAGCAGGGTGGGCTCCAGTTAATCCCTTTCTCCTGAGAGCTGACATTGTTAAGAAGAACACCGTGCTCGGGCTTGTTTCAAAATGGTTTCTTTTCCTTCCCCCAGCCACAAAGACAAAGAGATTTTTATGTGATATTTACTGAGAGAACCTTCTGGAGCTTCGAGATATAAAACGCACAGATGTGTGGAAATACCCATATAACTTGGTTTAGCTAAAGTTTCTGACTCTCAGCTACGTCCACACTGACCTCCAGCAACCCATCAACTATAGGGCAGGTTTCCCACCTGAGGCCACATCCCCACCTGGTTCCTGCTCATCAGTCTCTGCTCGAGTAAGCCTGGATTCCCTCTGTTCCCTGTCCCTCTCTCCAGTCTCCGAGAAGGCCATGTCTGTGCCCTGTGGACTCACCTCTCTTTCAACTCCAAGAATTTTCAGTCTTTTCCGTTTTTCTTGTGGGGAGGGAGTGGTGGATTCCAAGATCCTTAAAAGAAAGTAAGAACCCAGAATTCTCTGTCTGACTTGGGACCTCTGTAACTGAGGGATTATGAGTCCTCGACTGTGGATAACTGATTCTCCTGCAACTCTATTAAAATTTGTTAGAGAATCTTTTACTCTGAACAGTACTTTGCATTTTCATTTCATTTTCTTAATTAATACACTCTTATAATCACAAGATGACTATAACTTCTAAGAAGGGGACAGTGCTTTCTTGTCTTTATCTCCTGTCACTTACCCATGTACTCATTACATATTATTTATCACCTATTCTGTATCAACTGTATTTTTGACCAACTCAGACGTGGTTCCTAGGTTCCTGGCCCTTCCATCTGTTGGAGAATCAGAATAGAAAAGTCCGTAGAAATAAACACAAAATAATAATGGTTAAAAGTATAACTGCTGACAAGTGTATGTTCTCTAGGTTGAGCCCCTACCATTGAGTATGACAGCATCTCCCTTCTCAGAAGAAAGAGCCAGACCTTTGTTCCAACGTTGGTTATGTAAGAGGACTGCTGATGTCATCAGTGGCATAACCACCTTTTGCTCTGGGCCACTCTGAAGCCATTTCCATGTATTTTCAGAAAAATGTCCTGAGAACCATATGGGAAGTGGCTGTGAAAATCATCTTTCTTTTACAGATTGGAGTGGGGACTCTGGCCAATGTCATTCTCTTCTTCTATAATGTCTCTCCAATCTTGCTTGAACACAGACAGAGGCCCTCACACACGATTCTCACCCATATGTCCGTGGTCAATGTCTTGGTTCTTCTCTCAAGTGGAATTCCCCACACAACAGCTGTTTTTCTTTTGAGGAACCCGCTGTCCACTCTTGCGTGTAAATTTTCATTTTATATATCCAGAGTGGCTCGCCAGACCACCCTGTGCTGCACCTGTATGCTGAGCACCCATCAATTCTTCACTCTCTTCCCTGGGAGAGTGGAGTGCCTGATGCTCAGAGGAAGAGCCCCCAAGGTCATTGGTCTTTTCTGTTTTATCTGCTGGATTTTCAGTTTCTTAATATATATCTTTGTTCCCATGACAATCACTACTTCACAGGACATGGAAAACGATACTGACTTCCAAGGGACATGGTTCTGTCCATCCTCACATTTTACTTCATGCATGTACATCTTGTTCTCCATCTCCGATGCCATGTTTATTGGCCTCATGGGTTGGGCCAGTGGTTTCAGGGTGCTTCTCCTGCACAGACACCACCAGAGAGTGTGGCATATTCACAGCCCTGATGGCTCCCACAAATTCCTATCAGAGATCAGAGCTGCCTATACCCTCCTGAGGCTGGTGGTCACTTTTGTCATCCCTTACATGCTGAATTCCATTTTTACTTTTTACATCACTTACTTCTTAGATACTCGTTTATGGTTGATTCAGATCTCTCATATTTTGGCTTCATGTTTCCCCACTTTTAGCCCCTTACTGTTGATCCTTAGGGATCCTAGAGCTCCCAGTTTCTGCTCTTGAATTGTTGAAATCACTGTTGAATGTGGAAATACGTAGAAGTCAGCTTCTATACCATCCACGATTACTATATTTAGTGATCATTTACCAGTTATCCATTTTCATAAACTTTTATTGTTATAACGTATACATAACATGATTTATGATTTTAACCCTTTGTGATTGTACAATCCAGTGGCATTAAACACATTCCCAATGCTGTTCAACCGTCACCTCTACCTGCACCCAAGACTTTCTCATCATCATTCCCAAGAAAAACTCAGTGCCCAGTAGAATAATAACACCACTTCCACTCTCCTCCTAGCCCAAGACATCCTCTTCTACTTTCTGTCTCTGTAAATTTGCCTGATTTTGGCATTTCATATAAGTGGAATCACACAGCATTTTTCTTTTTATATCTACCCTATCCAGTAACATAATATTTTCAAGGTCACCCATGTAGCATATATCAATATTTCATTCATTTTTAAGGCTGAAAACTATCCCATTCTGTGTATATCCAACATTTTGTTTATTCCTTCATCTGTTGATGGATATTTGCGTTCTTTCCACCTTTTGGCTATTGTGAATAACGCTGCTAGGAACTTTGGTGTACAGCTATCTGTCAGGGCCCTGCTTCAATTCTTTTGGATATTTACCTAGGAGTTAATTGCTGTACCATATGTTAGTTCTATGAATGCCCATTTGAGCAATCACCAAACTGTACTTTCAAAGCTGCTGCGTCATTTTACCTTCCCACCAGCAATGCACAAGTGTTCCAGTTTATCCACATCTTTGCCTACATTCATTATTTCCCAATTTTGGATTATTGTATATCCTTCTTAGCAGGTATGAATTGGGATCTCATTGTGGCATTGATTTGCATTTGCATTTCACCATATGATGTTGATCATCTTTTCATAGACTTATTGGTAGTTTGTTTATCTTTGACAACATGTCTCTTCAAGTGCTTTGCCCATTTTTCTATTGGGTTGCCTTTTGTTGTTAGTTTTAGAGATGCTTGATATATTCTGACTATTGATCCCTTATCAGTATAAAATACACGAAGATTTTCTCCCATTCTCTAGTTTGTCAGAATGTTGCTGTCAGCCCAAGGCAGTTCTTTAGAGACTGGTGAGTCTGTCACTGCAAGTGGGGCTGAGTGCACCACCCAAGTAGAGGGGATCTGAGTGGAGACCTAACCCCATCATGGTGCCATTTTTAACATTTCTGTTTTGTTCACATTCTCAAATGATCACTATTTTCTCTACAATGCTTGGAGTTAAACATGCTCAATTAGGCTTAAGTGTGCAACTAAAGTGAGGAAATTTGAAGTGGTGTATGGGAACATTCCTCAAGGCAACACAGAAGCGATTCTGCAGCAGTCACACCGTGAGCTCTGCCCCTATCGTTCACTCCCCTTTGAATGAATTGGCTTAATTGTTGCAGGATTTCCCCCCTAGAAATGCACTACAGTCTATCTTGTAACAATAATAGCCCAGTGTTCCTAGCCAGAGTATAATTATCGCTTTAAAATTCTCCAGAGGAACAGACAGTGAGGCGGTTGAGACCAAACGAGGTCTGCTCAAGGTAAATGATGGTCGTAAGTAGACAAAGGGTTCCTGAGGAACGTGGGTCAGGTGATGATACTATTGCCTATAATTGTGTGCGCTAGAAAATGTCCATTAAAGTTGTGTTTTAAGGAACAAATGTTAAATATTGCTCTTTGAAATGATAAATATATGAACTAAATTTAAATAATGTGGATGAAACATAAAGTTAAAGAATTATCCCTAGAAATAGAATTTAAAAATGAAGACATACTCAATAGGAAACAAAAAGACCAATTTCTCATTAAAACTCTGTTGGAAATCTGTGGGGAGTGTGTGGATGTCCCAGGCACTGGGGGCCCTACGGGATTGCTGAAAGGGTGGGTGGTGGGCACTAGACGTCCTGCAGAGGACAAGGGGTTTCAGGGAGCAAACTTTTTCTTAAAGAGCCAGATAGGAAATATTTTAGGCTCATGGGCCATAAGGTGTCTGTCACAGCTACTCAGACCTGTCCTTGTACATGGAAGCTGCCACAGACTTTATAAAAATGAGAGTGGCTGCGTTCCATCAAACTTTATGTACAAAAAAAGTGGCAGGCCCACAGGCCTTAGTTTGCTGATCCCTGATTTGGGGCATCATGTGATGTGTGGGTGGGTTTCCCTTTCAAACAATAAAGAACATGTTGCAAAAACTGTCAGGAAGGGAGTGCAGGGTCCTACCTGACAGGAAGGACACCACTCAGGGACCAACCAGGAGCTGATAGGCATCTGCAGAGGCATCTGAAGGAGAGAAAGAATTTCTGTTTCAAGGGAAAGATGAGGCAGATGAGGGGCTGGTGAGAGAGGGTGTGTGTGTCTGAGGTGGAGTTTCTGCCCGACAAAAGTGGAGAGACAGTGTGAGACTAAAAGGAGCGAGTGTGTGCAGCTAGGGGCAGTCACTACAAGCATCCACACTCACAAGAGAAGGTGTGTGTGTGTTTGTGCAGCTGTGTGTGATAGAACACTCCACAACAGGTATGTGAGAGGGAAGGTGCATGTAGAGCATGAGAACCTGTGGAAGAGTGTGGGTGGGGTGAGTGGGCTCATGTGTGTCAGTGTGTCCTGCACGAGTGAGGCACTGAGGAAGTGTGTCCAGTGCTGGTGGCTGAGATTTCCTGAGCAACAGCCAAGTCCACACAACCAGGGTGACTGGGTCAGGCGTTAGTCTCTGGTGCCACCTGCTGGTCCCAGACCCTCACGTCCCCTTGCTTCTCAGTTCCTCAGACCCTAAACCCCTTCAGAACTCAAGTTCCTCCCACCCAGTCCTCCAGCAGAAAACTCCTTGGTGGACGCTTATCCAATTGATCTTCCATGAGAGAGAGTCTCCTGGCAGAATGGCACCCACAATGCCTTCCCAGCACCCACAAAGGGCCCAAGCAGCCCAGCCCACTGCCCAACATCTGACTCACAGAGCCCTGGAGATATATTTGTCATTGAAAGAAAAGACTGAAGTGTAAATAGCAAGAGTGAACCAATGACACAGGAATGAACGACTGCATTCATTCAACATTCAGCGATGGATGGGTCACCACAAACTGAGGTGCTGAGGCCTAATGGGGAGGAAACCCCATAGATGGCAGCTCCCTATTGAGAAGTGGTGGCCTGAATATTCTGGAAAGAAGAATATATGAGGAGTCACGATTTTTGGAGCAGTTCTGTATTTCATACTGTAAGGAATGAAGAGGAAGATGCCTACGAGAGAAAGCTGAGATTAAGCCCATAATTTATGCAGGTCAGGGATTTGTTGTTTTCTGTTGTTTTCTCCATTGTGACAAATAAGTAAGTTGAGGAGAGAATTAAAGTCTCTAGCCTTTAAATCTCCACTAGAGTAAACCAAAGTAGGACATTTTACGTTATTGCCCTCCTCGGCTACTATTGAAAGAAGTGGAAGGAAGGCTCCAAGGCATGAAATGTGAAGCATGTGCTTAATTCGGTGAATGGGGGTCTCCCTTAAAGTCTGTAATGGGGAGGGTCCCCTATCTTGAGTGCAAAGGAGCCCCTTTCCCTGCAGCCCCACCCAGAACCATCCTGGGGCCAAGCCTTGTGTCCAGAACACCCCAGCATCAGGAGCAGGGCTGCCTTCGGCCCCAGGAATGGTACCCTTGACCCTGGCAAAGCCATACTTCCTCCCTGGCAGTCTCCTCATTCCCACATGCCAGTCGAGACACCAGGCAGGGGGCAACCAAGAGGCCACCATCCATCCCCTAAGCACTTGAGACACTCTCTCTGGACCTTGAATCCTAAACTGACCCCATGTGCTTCCAGCATCTCTGGGACCCTGTCCTTCACTGGGCAGAAGGACAAGTTACCCACTCTACATCCGTCCATCTACCCATCACTCCATCACCCTGGTGTGCAGGAAGGGGCCCATCCAGACCCATCCACCCCTCAGCTAGGACAGGAAAGCTGACTGATGCCTTTGCCCACACACACTTGCTCTTGCTCCGTGATTGGTCTGGGGACTGGTATACTCATGGCCACACCACTGAGGTCGGTCACCTCCGCAGGAGACATGGTCAGCCCTGAACACCTTGGGAGGGTGCCCCTTGATCTGGCCCTTGGTGCTCCCTCTGAGCCCCTGTGACGTGGGGATCTACACCTGCCTGATGCTCTCCCCGTGCCCACAGCCGTTCCTGGGTGAGAGCAAAGGCTGGCTGACCCAGAATGCCTGACCCTACCGTTACCTTTCCCCGAGGGCCTTGAAGCCTGAGTTGTAAAAAGAGTCACTGAGGAATGAATCTGTCAGTGAGAATGGGAATGTCATGTCCCAGGCATGTGGGAAGAGGTCCCCACATGGAGGGGGGTCCCCATCACCAAGGCCCAGGGATGCAGAGCCTGGAACAAGCTGACATACATCTGTTTGTGCGTGTGACAGCAGCACCCACCTTGTAGAATGGTCCTTGGATTCTGTGGGGTTCAGCACAGAGAAGAACACAGACAGCAAACAGGTGGTCCCTGGTGGTCCCCTCAGCTCCACTAGCAGAGGCTGAGTGAGGATTTCAAAGAATGCTGGGTGGACCAGTGCTGCCTACAGTGGGAGTGGGTGGAACAGGGCCCCTGCAGGGGGCATAGGTGATGACAGTGGTGCCACATGAGTTGAGTCCTTGTCATCTGTCAGCAGTAACTCTTATCATCATCCTCATGGGTATCTCAATGAACCCCGGACAAAACCTGACCTCGACTAGGTGTCCACCTGACACAGCATCTGTCTGAAGTCTCTGCATCCGTGAACCTCATGAGCTCACCAGTGGGCCCCCTGAAACCTGATTTTTCTGGCTGGCTGGCTCCTAACAGCTCACCCCCATGGAAGCTCTCTATGACTGGAGGAATATCTTACTAATGCCAAAATAAAATAAAAATCTGATAGGATTAAAAAGGAGAGTGGGATATGAGTGAGGTGGGAGAAGGGATCCTGTCTAATAAAAGCCCCTTGTAA